AAATCTGACAAAAATAAATGTTTCGGTTCATTGAACCCCCTAAAATTATCACAACATCACCAAAGGCACCTTACTTCACCATAAGCGGAACTTCATGTAAAATTTCAAAGCAATAAGCGCAATATTTCCCACCTCTAGTAAACTAAACAATATCATAACACATATACACCTTTAAATATTTATTTGTAACTCCCACATCCGAGTACATACAGCCATATAATTGGTATCAATTTAAAGGTCTTTCATTCCTCTTGGATATACTATTAATATTTTTAGATCTATGTCTTCCAGGAGTCAATATATACCCCATAGAAAGCTACCTTTGTCAAAAGTCGGGGTCCATTTGACCCTCTAAATATTGACCGATCTTCATCTAAACAGCCGATTATTGACCGATCTTCATCTAAGCTTATTCTTTGGCCCTTCCTGGTGAACAATTTCATGATGTTCGGGTCATAATGTTGGCTTTTAAGGCGACCCGGAAAACAAACACAAATAAAGTTCTTGATCCATTTCATCTCCTAAATATTAACCGATCTTTACCAAAAACAATAGAGTTATTCTTTGGCCATAACCCATCCTACATGCAGAATTTCGTGACGATTGGTCCATAACTGTGGCCTGTATCATGTTTATAAATTAAAATGGACAGACAGACAGACGGACGGACGGACGGACACACTTGTCTAGATCGACTCAGCTAGTCGTTACAAACTCTTGTGGCTGCACAAAACTATAATACGCTGACAACATAGTTGTGTAGGGTATAAAAAATAGAACATTTTCAATTTGTTTCAAAATCCATTGGGATTTTATGAATTTCCAATTAAAGAAAAATGCACTTTTATTTAGTCTTTCTCAATACCACTGTAGCTTACTCAGTGGATATGACTATACATCGCTACGGTATTTTCTCTTGTTGCTTAGCGTATCAAAACTTAAGAATGCAATTTAAATTTTTTTCGAAATATATATTTGAATATTATTTATGCAACATCCCCTACTTAAAATCATTTGAATTGCTATTTTGTATTTGTGTGTGGCTGGAAAATGTAAATAATTAGGTGGAAAAACAGAGAGAAATGAGTCAAGGTGTTTCTGGGTGCTCTGTTGAATGTCATCAGCTGCTATATATATACATATATACCGTTTTAAATGCGTTAAAGATGACAGGTGGGAAGTAAGTGCAATTTTGTTTGTGTTTCCATGTAAATGAGTAATGTAAATGATATATGTATGTATGTATGTTCCCATATGTGTAAATGTGTTTGAATATATAGGCCATTGTTTTACTTAATGTTGGTCATGGGATATATTAATTGCACCTAAGGATTTTTAAGTTGAATGCCCATATTCATTATATTTTAAATTGGTTTTTGTTTGCACCTCAAGAGACTTTTTCTGTTCTCAAAAATAATTTGAATTCACACAAGTACCCAGTCATTTCGCACTTTTGCTGATGTCATTGAAGAGCCACAAAACAACGTTCATTCTTATCTCCTGTTACTGAAATGTCTATGTACAAAAAATAAATTTCGACATATCATAAATGACGTCACAGCAAGCAACGTCAAATCAAACAAATTTAAGGCCAATAAAGTATTTGGTTATTTATTATAACGTAAAAGAAATTGATGGCTAAGAAATAACAAAACAACAATGAAAAAAATTCAAACAAGTGACCATCACAATAAGAATATTAACAATAATTGCCAATAGAGTAGGGTTAGAGCAACATTTTCAGGAAGATAAGACAATAATAATAAAAAGAGGGGCCATTGGATTTACGTAAATTTTATTCTTTAGATTTTTATCTCTTCGTTCTGTGCTTCATACGTAGCAGGTTTTTTTTCCTGTAGTTATTCTTTTTTGCTGTGCTTTGCTTTGCTCTGTAGAATGAACATAAAATTGTCGCTTCAATATCTTATCATCTGTGTTCTTTAACTACTTTTCTATATGTGGAACAGCAATCAGTGCAAATTACTTGGTGTTAGTGTTAACTGATTACGGCCGGGCATTGCGCAATGATTTTATCGCCAGGTAACAATACCTGGTGACAGAACAAAATATGGCATGTATAAAAGGCTCGGCCAACTATTCAAATTATTTTAGTTATAATAAATAAAAAAAGAAAATAGTTCAAAACAAATGTTTGCTAAGAAAATATGTTTATACCACCTACAACACCCAAAAGGAAATTTATAGGAAGAGGGTGTTATTTATAGGAAAATAAATCCAGTTAATTTACTCCTTATTGAATTCAAAGTAAAAAGAAATAGTTCAATTGTGTTTGATTGTTTTACCCTCAGCCTAATGACTAATGAGGGTACATACACTTTGATACGGTGAAAATGTGTCTCACCGTGTTTCTTTGGACCAAATCCGTTTCAGAAAATTTGGAGTCGATCTGAACATGTCCGTTCGTCCGTCTGGCTGGTGCGCACGATAACATTCGAAGGGAATAACCGATTTCATCTAAACTTTGCAGATCTTAATATTTCTTCCAAAATTAGTTTAAGTTCGAAGATTGGAATTATCGGTCCACTCCTTCTGGTACCTCACCGACAAAATGTTCAAAATTGTGCTACAAATTAATTATATAATAACATGCAAAGGGACTATCCGATTTTATCTTTGTACAACCTATTATCTTTACCAAGCCTATATCAAGTAAGAAAAAGGCTCCCATCGGTCCACTCCTTCTGGTACCTACGCCACGGAGGGTTAAAATTTTCAATATTTATAAATCCAATATCAGGTTAATGGAATGTCCGATTTGAACCAAACTTTGTACAACCTATAATCTTTACCAATTCTAGATTATGTTTGAAGATGGGACCCATTGGTCCACTCCTTCTGGCACCTCCCCCACAAATGATCGAAATTTTTCAATATTTATATATTCAATATTAGGCGAATGGAAACCCCGATTTGAACCAAAATGATTACTATTGATGCCCGTTTTGGTATAGCCCCATAAAACGCTAACCTCCTATTAGGTAATCCTCCTTTTTCGCCCTTTTCGCTATATTCAAGATTCTGATGTTTCTTCTATGAGCCCTCATTAATTTCACATATTTTGAATGCCATCCTCATTGTGGAGGATATAAAACGTTCGGCCGGGCCGAACTTAACATCCTTTTAATGTGTTAAACAAACATATTGTTACGACTTTTAATAATTTTATGTCTCGTCCTTGACGAACAAATTGAAAAAAAATATTCCATATATGTATATTTTTGAAAAGTTGTTTTTGTAGTAGTAGTTGTTATTGTTAGTATAATATTGATTTATTTTGGTAAAAATTGATTTATTTTGGTAAAAATGAGACTATTTGTTAAGCTACAATTCAAGCTAAAAATTATTGAAGATTAGAATTTCGAGTTTCCAGAGGATACCAAACTATTTTATGTAGTTTGAAAATCTAAAAAGGAAAGGATTTTAAAAATTCGGTGCGACCGACCATTGCTTTATATTTAGTAGTATTTTATTCAACAAAACCACAATATAGGTATTATACATTTTAAAATATTTTATAATCAAACAAAATTTTGAAATGTACTCCAAAACACTTACACTTATCTCATGAATATATCTTGAAGTGGGTGAATTCCAGTAAGGTTTGGAATCACATTTTTTTGTTTTGACAAACTATTTCACTTCGATATAGGTTTTATATTTCTCATTCCGTATAAAATATTATATATTATTGTACAAAAAACCAAATTTTATATGTCATGAACAAATCCTTCCTAAAAATTATTGTATTTTTTGGTGTAAGTCCATTTATGGACATTTTAAAGCCGTAGTCGCATTATTTAATAAAATCGATTATAAAGAAAATCTAATTAAAATCCGATATAATTTAGTTTCCTACCGAAATTTAACCTAAACATTTGGATAATATTCGACACTGTTTATTGAAAGTTAAAAAAATTACCTTGAACCACAAATTTAAATTTTTATCAGAAGTCCACAGTAGTGATTTTAATACCGATTTGTCATTATTGCTTTATGAAATTCCTGTGTGCAAAGGAAGCGGAAGCCAATTGGAAGTGGTACGCTGTACCAAGCCAAAAAAGCACTTAATATCCTAAAAACTTAGTCATTTAAATATACAGTAAATTTTTATTTTGGTTGTTTTTGGTAAATTTTTATTAATTTAAAACTTAAAAAAACATTTATTTAATTTAATGTCAATTTAAAAGTAAAACTTTGTTTTTTGTTGTGGTGGTTGCAAATTAATTCAATCGTTACAATAAAATAATACATATTTCTATATAAAGTATGGGCGTTGGCTAAAGGGGAGTGGTTTGGTTGTTGATTCAGGGGACGTTAGTGGTCGGGGGTCCTTTTGGTTTCGGAGTTATTAAACTAACTTGTACAATTGCTAGAAACTAAAAAAATGACACTCACAAAATATGTTTTTCTGGAAGAGATGATCTCTCTCTTCTGTTTCTTTCCTTCAGCCGGTTCTCCAGATGATGATTGATGATAGCTGCAAAAATCATCTTCCTTTGTTGGTTGTTATTTTGTTATAACTAGACTTTACAATAAACAATTCTATATATTTGTTGTTTTGTTTTTTTTTGTTTATAATTCTAATACAAAAACATAAAATGTATGCCCAAAATAATAGAAAATAATTTGGAAAGAGCTCAGGCCTTTTTTTGAGGTCCTTTACCTTTTCCATGTTTTTGTTATTGTGTTTGTTGTGGTATTCGAGTTGTTTTTCTTTTTTTTGGTGAAATGGCAGTTTACTTCAAACAAAAATAAAATCTTAATTAAAGCACAAATAATAGTTGCTGCAGATGTTAGAGAGAAGACATGTTTTGTTCCTGGAAATATTTCAAAAATATATTTCCAGTTTTGATTTTTTTGTTTTCAGAATATTATATAATAAGCAAACGTTAATCGTTGAAAAGTTAATTTTAATTTTCTTTTAACTAAATATTGGCTTAATGTGTGTTTGTGTGTGTGGTAAGGAAGTTTTTTGTTGTTGTTGACGAAAAATACGTTTCTTGTTTTTTGTTTTTAATCTATTAAAAGTTCAAAGTGCACAGAGCCTAATCTCTCCTTGCGATCATGGAAGATGTTTCTGGCCCAGGCTTTGCATTCGATATTGATGATAATACCACCTAAGGAAGAAGACGAATATGAAATTAATATTATTAATAAATTACTGAAAATAAAAATAATCCTTAGATGAGGTTTGTTCATAAATTGAGGGATTTTATACAACTTCGTCAAAACACCAGATTATAATTCAAGCTAATTTTTGAACAAACTTCATTGCGAGAATCTTGAAATTTCCCAAAAAATACTTACGATTTGGTCTTTGGAAATGTACAGCAACCAAAGGACTTAAATAACCCTCAGAATTTTGATAGGGATAGAAATATCCGGGGAAACCACGAATGGGCAAATAATCGACTGGACCAATATTTTCTTGATCGGCAGGATTTTCACCCTCACAGGATACCCAAACAGTGTTCATCTGCGAAAGGGAAAATAATACAACAATAAATCTCAAGATTTTATTGGGAAAATCCCTTCCCACCCACCTTATGGGCCTGTGTCTTTTCAATTTCGGCAATATAAGTTTTTAAACTTTTTGGCATTTTTTCGGGTAAATCAGCTGAGCTGTTATAGAATTCGGGTATCCAACCATAGATTTTATTCAATTTCAAGAATACACATGGTGAGCTCTTGTGATAGCTGTAGTTGTTTTCCTTGGTACAGGGAGACCAGGCCTTGATATCGACATCGCACACTTGACCCTTTGGTGGGGGTTGATTGTAATCACAATTGTAGATATTTTGACCGCGGCCGGGTGTTAAACCAGGTACTTTGTAAACTGAAATAAATAATAAATTAAATTATTAATGTATGTTGGGCTATAAAAATATCAGACTAGTTCGTTTATTAGCTTCAGAAGAGGGGAGAAACTCCCTTCAAATGTCCAGGATAGGCCTGTAGAACATCTCTTGCATTAAGGATTTCATTCCGATATGAGATATCCTTGATGAATTTTTAATGATGATAAATCCTTTTACTGTGAACATTTAATTTTTGAGTTCAAAAACGATCTTATAGAGAGTATAATTATACACACTTAATTACTTAGAAATTCCTCAAGGTGTTACAAACATAAGTTCATGTTCTTGCAAGTCGGGCGTTGCGGTGGCGCCCAATGTCAGAATTTGTAGAGATTTCATAAATTGAATATTTTCTTTTTTTCTGCCATTTTTTAGCTAACATTGATTATAGAATTTCGTTTTCTGTGACCTTTGGCGGATTTTTTGTACTAAAAACTTGGATCTTCATAGAGAATATGAAATTTTTTATTTCTTTAATTTCCTAATAGGTTTCTAATATAGAAATATTTATTTAACTTCTTTTTTATATAACTATACATTTGTTAAAATCATTCGCTTAAGCGTTGATAACTGATTGAATTATTTCTTTAAAAAAAATCAGTTCAAGGAATGCTCACGTTTTGCAATACCTAAAAATTCAAATAAAATACGTAGATCCCCAGTCGACTTATCAGAACTACTTGACCATGTATTTCTAGATAGAAATCTCTGCTTGTTTTTCTAGTTAAAACTAGAAATTGATAAGATTTTAATTACAGAAAATAAAAAAAGAATTTTATAGCTTTCAATTTATGAGACATATCGAGTGTCCATTCTGACACTACGGAGTTATCAACCAAGACATGATAACCAAGTCCACTAGCCCAGCTATGTTTTTTAGGCGTTTTGCAGAACTTACCAGCCAAGAATTCATCTAATGAATCTGTCCATTGTTTGTAGTTTTCATGATGGGTACCCTTGTACCAAATCAAGGTGCTTTCCACATTTTCCGATTCGGGTAGGGGTCGGAAGCCGAGACCTTACAAAAAAACAACATATGTTAATTATATAAATATGTTTATGTTTAATTTCATAAATATACCTGGATTTGTTCCTATCAACGATCCATCGAGTGTCCATTTTGGTATACGTGGATCCAATGTTTGGAAAAATGCCCACATACAAATGGCTACCAGCGCCGCTAAGACTCCATAAAATGCTGTGTAAAATACGCCAATTTTTGCTAAAGAAATAAAAGAAGAAGGAAGAACACATCATTAATATTTAAAATTGAAAAAAACGATTTCAAAGAATATATCTATTTTTAATTTATTTATGCGTTTGAAAAAATATGACGTATTTTCTGCACCCTGAAATAACAAGAACGTCACTAGCACACGATGATGGTCTGATATAGTACGTCATTTTTCTTTTTTAGTTAAACTTGTAGAGATATAAAAAATACCGATATTGTTCACATGAGAATTGATAATATAGTGTCGTATTTTATGAGGTTCTTGTTGACAATCTACGAAATTGTATTATTTTCGTGGGCTATAAGCAAGGAAATGTTGCGACAAGGTTGCAGACCCACTGTGTGATAACGTCAGGTGTGTTAGTTAGTGTTAAATATTTTCCATGCCATAATTCGACAGCAATTAATTCATTAGCTGCAATTTTTATATAACTAAAAAAGCGACAGTAGTCTTCTTTGTAAGAGCATACAAAAGTCCATAGATTACTTTTGGAAACTTCATCATGGTGGATATATACAAAATCTGCATGTCCGAAATTAAGAAGGTTAGGAAGGAGTTTTTTATCTTCTGATAATAAGAAAACTCAAATTAAAGGTTTGAAAATTCGGCTAGAACTAAGACTCTTCCAGGTTTAACTGAGGGCTACGTTTATATTGAACATTTTCTGCAAAGAAGATAATTATCCACTGACAATCGGATTGTCAAATTATTGCCATTTTGGTTGGAAAATGTGCTTAATGTGCCTTTATACGAGAGCAACCATATATATGGGTAGGGGAATAAATCCATTACTTTTATATGAACTATAGGACTTTATTTAACATGCTTCGGAATGTCCGATTTGGAGCAAATATGGACCGTTTTGTTGTATGATTTGTTGCCATTTTAAAGGTAACTTCATAATACTTCTCTCATAGAAGTCCTACTCTATATTTGCAAAAAACTCTAGTAGTCGATTTTCACAATCCTCCCCAGATACCAATTTTTTATACCCTCAGCCTTATGGCTAATGAGGGTATATACACTTTGATATTGGTAAAATGTGCCTCATCGAAATATTGTATTAAATCTGTTTCAGAAACGTTGGAGTCGATTTACACATGTCCGTCCAATGTCCGTCTGTCTGGCTGGCTGGTGCGCACGATAACTCTCGAAGGCAGCAACCTGGATATCTTAATATTTTTCCAAACTTAGTTTAAGTTCGAAGATTTTATAATAACATGAAAACGGACTATCCGATTTTAATAAAACTTTGTACAACCTATTATCTTTACCAAGCCTAGATGAAGTAGGAAGATGGGACCCATTGGCCCACTCCTTCTAGTACCTCCCTCAACAAATGGCCAAAATTGTCAATATTTGTAAAGACAATATCAGGAGATTGGAATGTCTGATTTAAATATTAAATCCGGAACCTCTTTGAAAAAAACATATTTTTTATATAAAGCTAATGGTTTTATTATTAGCTTTATATAAGAAATCACCCGAAGTTTCTGGCGAGACCCTGTAGATGTGTGTGGCCTAGCGTTGTCCTGGTGGAACACGACACCTCTTCTATTAGCCATTTCTGGTCAATTGTAAATGGTTTACAACGATGTTTAGCTCCTGGGCGATGTTACGACTGCTAACATGCCGGTCAAATTCGACAATTTCTCCGATTTAATCAATATTTTTGACGAGCGGCACCTGTGCGAAGTGCATCTTTAACATCAAAAATTCCTGAACGGAATCTACGAAACCAAAAACACTATATTGGAACCATAAACACTATTCACAATTTCAGACGCTTGGCTTGCATCTTCGCCTTTGTCAAAGAAAAATCTAAAATATGCCGAATTTTCTCTTTGTTCACTTTAATTTTTAACACCCTGTAACTCACTCGCAACAGCAATATAAAAAATTGGTCTGTACCGTTATACAATTTTACCCGGATTAGAAGATCTGGCCAACGAATAAGCATGACTGTTTTTATTATGGCAAATAAGAATGTATAATTACCATGGGTATAAAGGACGACTTTTTAAATATTCGTCTTAATACAATATCAAACGAAGCATCGAAGCTATAAATTATAATTTTCATTTGCTCAACAATATTAAAAAAAAAAACCTCATTAATCCCAAATATATCTTTCATAATGCACTTTATTATCCACTAAAAATCATATTCCCATTAGTTAAAAAAAATACAAGATTGTCGACAATTTGATCATTAAATTATCACCACAAATTAAATAAAGTATTTAACAAAAAGCAATAACAGAACATTAACATTGTTTTGAAATTGTCATATTGTTGACTTCCAGAAAATCTTCTTTTTTTGTTGTCGTTGGATGATGACAAATGGGGCGGTTAAAGAGGATGGTCGGTTGGTGGTTGGGTAGTAGAGATGCGTAATTTAATTGACATCATTTAAACGCCGACGATGGTGGTGATGATGATGAATCGAAAAGGCACGCTAAGAAAACTAGACAGAGTGAAGAAAAAACACTGCAAGCAAATCCCCAGTGGACAATGTGTGAGATACTATGAAGTTCTTGTTGTTGCTGTTGTCGTTTTGTCTGACTTCTTGGGCCACATTAATTTATGGAGGTTAAAGATAAATTAATTATCAAGCAGAGAAAGAAAATGTGCTTTGAACAATTGTAGAAGCGCATGCTTTTAAAATGTTCTCAAACTCTCAGAGAATAACAAGCTAGACATTTTGATGGATCAGCACATTAAGAAAAGGCAGTACGTACGCGTGTGTATGTGTGTTTGGTATCTTAAGTGAGTGAGTGAGTTTAAGTCAGGTTTAGAGGTATTAAGCTGAGTGTTGCCAGATTGATAGATGAGTAGATTTGTTGTGAGTCAAGTTTGTCGGTAACTGACAAAATTGTAATAGAGTAAGACTCTCTCATAAGTACTCATCCACTACGTTATTTTCTCATTAAATAATTTTCTTGGAATTGTAAACAAACAAACAAAAAAGAGGGAAATTCTTCATAAACAGGTGAGCTGTTTTTAACCGGGTTAATTATGCATTGCTATTGTAAATTGAATATTACTGTAGTTGTTTACGTATGAACATCAAATCTAATCGAATTTTAAGTGCTTTTTGTAAATTTTGAACTTCATATAACACAAGCTAACGGACAATGTTCTTGGGTGATTTATGACAAATGGGCAAAATATTGAAATAAAAAATCACCTGGAAACATGAATAAATGAGTAGCTATGCAAAAATACACCAGCTCAGCTTTTCTGCTATATAATTGAATTAAACAAGCTTCCTGTGTTTATGGTATAGTAAATTAGGGCCTTTTCAAGCTTGGGTTTTACTAGGAATTTCAATGTCAATTATATTGAATTGCATTATAAACAAATGCATTGTCACTCAAAGAAGCAGGGAGGAATATACTTGCTATCATGTGTATAAACAATATAATCGATTCTTAATTATACTGCCTAAACAAAAAAGTCTGTGATCATTAAGATTTGGAATTTGAAACAAATAAATCACTTCTATTCAAAGTTTACAAAAACAAAAAATTAAATCACACATTTCAGTTTGTAGTGGCATTTTGATTTGATAATATTCATTTGGTTAGGTTTTATTTTTGTTTTGGATCTGCGGATCAGCTCTCTCCTCGTAATGCCCAAGTAAATATCAACAAAGAGGAAAAATAGACGTCATTTCAATTTGGGGATGGATGGATATTTGCTATAATTGCCACAATTAGCATTAGCTGTGTGAGAAAGCAACCATTGCCGCCATTTGACAACATTTTTTCTATTTGAATTTTCAACAAAAACGTCCAATGCATATGGGGTGTTGCTGTGATAGTGCAAAAGAAAAGGGGGAGAGTTGTTGAGGGTTGTGCAAAAAAAAAAAAATGTACCAAAAAAATATGAATGCCACAAGGTTTTGTGTCTGTGTGGCTCTTTGTATTTGTAAATGCAGAAAAAAATGTCCCAATTTATGGCCAATTATTTGACATTTTCATATGTGTAACGAAATGATGTTGATGCTGCTAATGCTGATCGTAGTCACAGAGCAAGGTTAAGTTTTTTTTATTTGTCGGTGTGTGTGTGCACTGTACGGTGATGCATTAACGATTTCCTCCCTCTTAAATGGGATGAGGAACCACAACTAATTATGTGTAATAGGGTGCTACCAGGTGAACATTTTCATTGTGTGGGTGCTTCGTATACAAATCGCCAAACATTCGTGGGAATAAAATGCCAAAGATTTGTCGAATTTTGTTGCAAGATTTATTATTAGCCGACAATGTATACAAGTCTAATTTCTTCTTTGGGGAACATTTTACAAAATCGGATTATTAATGTCCTTAATTTGGGGAGAAATTGAGAACATGTAGGAAATCGTAGACTTAAATATTAAAAAAATGAATTCACAGAATATATAGACAGTACTGGATTTTTTCAGAAAATATCGTGATTTTGGTGTTCTAGAAATTTTATTTTTGTCGACAATGCAAGACCTTTGGCAATAAGAATATTTTTAAAGCCAATCTAAAGCGAGGATTTTTACAGACTATTTTCAAGGTCTATCCATGACGTAAGTTTCTTAAGGCGTGAATTTTTAAAGAATATATTTTCCTTATTTTGGTGTTTGAGAAATTTTATTTTTTGAAATAAAAATTAAAAGGCACGATAAATGAAGATGCGTATTTCGACAATAATATTTTTCAAGGTCCGTCAGCAAGACGTGGATTTCTTAAGAATATTTTTAAGGAGCGAGAATTTTTTACAGGTTATTTTTCAAGGCCTATCCAAAACGTGAATCCAAGGCGTGTATTTTTTAAATAATATTTTTCAATGCCTATCCAAGGCGTGTATTTTTTAAATAATATTTTTTCAAGGCCTATCCAAGGCGTGTATTTTTTAAATAATATTTTTTTAGGATTTTTCGTGGATTTTTCAATTGTTTTATTGTCTTATGTCTGTATTCATATTATGCTGGCAAGTTCGAACATTTCGAAGGT